GTTGTCCAAAAATGATTAAAAACAAATTAAAGGCGGGGTCAGCCACTCTGGAGAAAGAAAGTTGATTGTCCACCAAAATATATAAAGATGATATAAATAAAAAAAATCTAAGTTTGGTTTTAATTAGTTATTTGAAACTATAAAAAGGGGGTGTCACGTAATGATTGACAGCTGAGCCCTGCTCGCGATTGAGTCAGCCGGGCATATGGACGGGACCTTGATACCACGGCCAATCACTACCACGCAGACTCTGGCTCCAAGTGGTGAAAGATGGCACCGGCTGTATCTAGGATATTTTGGCTTCATTTTTGTACAGTGGGAGGAGAGTGGAAACGTGACGTCATTCTTCATATGTCTGTGGTTGAGTCTTTGGGAACGTGGCCCGGACACAATGTGAGACAACAGGTGATTTTCGTGCTCCCAGGGAATGTGACTCAAATCAACTATCTTTCTCTAGAATGACTGAACCCACCTTTAGTGAACCATTGCACTTGGTGACAGGTTCTTTAATTAAAATGAACATACACAGTTTATTCTCAGTCCCACAGACACTGTAATGTTGCTGGCAATACTCATTAGAAAAATGAGTATTACAAAATCTCCATACAGACGCACAAGGTACCCTTTAGCGTCTGAGTGTAAAGTACCAGAAAAGCCGGCATCAGCAAGTTATAAGGGTGGATGGATGGGTCAAACAAACAGAGGACTTTCACCCAGAAGACCATGTTTTATGTCCCTTTTGAAACCAAAAGTATGTTTTAAGTTGCATAAAATTATGTATGTGACTTGTGTCACTTAACATATTTATTTGGGCTCAAACCATGATCTTTTTCTAAACCTAACTAAGTAGTTTTGTTAACCACACTGCCACCATTTCACAACATTTACCACATGTTAAAAAGGAGTCTCATACAGACGCTTAAAGGGTACCTTGTACTTCTATCTGAGAAAGCGAGTGGCGTGACAAAACAGGATCAGTATTTGACAACCTGGGATGAGAATGTGTTGATAATGCACAGATGAGTAAGTGGATAAATGGAAGAGAAGGTGAAAGCAGTGCTCTTCAGTAGATTTTTAATGCACAGAAATCTGTTTCAGGTCACCATTATCAGCATAATTGTAACTCTCAATAGTCAAATAAAACTATGTTCAGGTTTTCTATTCAACTGATATAGACTATGTTACAAACTGTAGTTGGAGGCTTATTATAAGCCTGATTATTCATTGAGCAAAAGGTGTTGAAAAAATCTAACAGTAACTTCATAAACTATGACTAAACAAGTACTGTTTTAAAGCCATGACAAACCTATGTTACATTTATTTCCTTATATTGTATGGACAATATGCTCTATTTAAAGCTGCAGTAGGTAACTTTTATAAATATTTGTGTCATATTTGCTGAAACATTTACTATATCCTGGCAGTAGAGCATGAGACTGAGCCAAGACCAATCTGGCTCCTCCTAGTGCTCCTAATGGAATTTGCAAAAATCCACCAGGCCTGAACGAAAAACAACCAATCAGAGGCAAGAAAGGCTATAGTGAAAGTTTCAGCAAATATGACAAAAAAAGGTTTGTATAAAAATGACTTACTGCAGATGCGAAGAAGCTCCAGTCAAATTCATGTACAGTTCTCTCAACAGTCTAAGAATTTGCTAGGGAATTCAAACTCTCATAATGTAGTATTCATGACGTGTGTGAACGAAAAAGCAGGTGGTCAAACACACAAAAGGCCTTGTTAACATAACAGAAGATCAAAACTGTGCTTTAGTCAACAGCTCTTGTTGGCCTTTGGTTTCCCAGCTTTCAACTTTGGCTGATGGCATCAGCTGGCCAGACATCAAAGGGCACAAAGAAACCTTCTCATAACAGTATTTTGCTTTGCTTATTTTGGCTTATTACAATATTTGTAACTGATATTATTTTCTGTAGGGGACTCCCAGCTAGAGAGATTAGAACTTAAAATACTGATGTTCTACAAAGATACGGTTTGAGAAATGTTACAAGAATGATAGAAGGGCCTTTGTTTGGAGTTGGACCTGGACCAGTGCCATCAGAGAGGTGGTGATATGTTTATCATAAATCAGCAGAACAAGTTTTAGTGTGAAAAACAGAAAAGGGACAATATTCAACCCTTGTCTCACTCCCAAGTCGTCAAATACTGCAGCTTGGTCAGCGGCTATCCGCTTCAAAATATAGCTGTAGGTATCCCTCTAGTGTCATGACAAACAATCAAACACGGGACTTTAAGCCAGGAGACCACTGTTTGTTTCCTGTGTAAAACCAAAAGTACAGCTGAATTAAGTTTTTAGTTACTTTAAAATTACATATATGATTTGTGTCACGTGACATACTTATTTTAGCCCAAACCATGATCTTTTTCCAGTCCTAACCAGGTCATTTTGTTGCCTAATCCTAACCATACTGCCACCGTTTCACATCATTAACTACCTGTTAAAAAGGCATCTCATGCAGAGGGGTAAAGGGTACCTCGTAATACACAGAGGATTTAAATTTAAAACATTTTTAAGTGTGTAAAATCTAGGAGGATCTATTGGCAGAAATGGGATATAATACTCCTGTTTCCATGTGTGTATAATCACTAAATAAGAATCATTGTCCTTTTGTTACCTTTGAATGAAACGTTTTTATCTACATACGCCGCAGGTTTCCTTCCATGGAGTCTGCTATGTTGCCACCATGTTTCTTACAGTAGCTCAGAACGGACAACACCAAAACAGCGGGTCTGGAAATAGGGCCTTTTTGTGAGTTTTGCAGGCCAGGTGTTTCTAACACACTTAAACCATTCCTGTTCTCATTCCCAAGTCATCAAATACAGATAGCAGGGGCTATATCACTGCTAGATGCCACTTAATCCTACACACTGGTCCTTTAGGTAACATATGTAAAGTTTAGCTTAAGTAATGTTCTTGCCTAACGGAGCCCTGTGTGTCCAGAAATTCCGTGAGAGGGATACCTGCAGTGTCATGTATTTTGAAGCGAAGGGCCACCAACGATGTTGAAATATTATTGAAGCTAACCTTGAACCCTGACCTTTCATCAACAAGACATTTCATAGTGAAGTATTAGTGGACTACTGGTAGGCAAACATTTTAAAGCAGCAGTGAAAGTGATTTCCTGTCACATTCTTCTCTAATCAGTGGTGAAAAAAGGAGAGGATGAGGGTGAGGAATGAGTTTAGCCACAAGGAGTTTGTGGAGAAATGTCATGAAGTGGACGATGATGATGATGAAAAAATAGATATACTTACAGAAATGCTGTGGCTGAAGCCAGAGCCTGGCTGAGGGCTAGTGGCACTGATGTAGTTGCCCACACCAGAGTCCTGACTGGCGGTTCCATAGAGGTCAGCTACAGGGCCAGGACTGTTGGCACCAGGAAAGGCTCCAGGCCGGGTTGAATTGGTTCCTGTTGAGGAAAGACCAGGAGAGAGGTTAGCCAGAGAAACTCTAACACAACAGGCACTTAGAGATGGAAGCTGACTATGACCTGGCACACATCGAGAGACTTTATTTTACACAATCTTAATGCTTCAGTAATAATTTGGAGAGAATATTTGAGTTCTTCTGAACATGATAAAAATGCAATGTGAAACTGACTTCTTAGCATTATGTATGAAAGTAGCAGAGACGCTTTCAGTTCACCAGTAAGTCATTTTCCCCTTCTATCAGGAGATCAGTTCAAGATTTTAGCATTTTGAAAAAAAAGGTCTGTGCTCATTGGCAGTGTTCATTTCCAGTGCATGAAAGAGTTAAACCAAGAAGAAAGCGTATAGGGCTTTTCAGATTGGAAAACAACAACCACCTGCAGAGGTCTCACAAGACTGCAGAGTGGAAAGCAAAGCAGTCTACTCTGCATCAAGTGGCAAGCAGCAAAAGGTTGACATGGTTCTAAGTTTTTCAAGGTTTGACATCAAACTATTACAGCGCAAGAAAATGGGCATCAACCACAACCTACTGGGACGGGTGGCACATATATTGCGAGGCTCTAATTTCTGAGCATTGGCTCGTTCCCTCAATGCCCTCAGTCACTTTAAAGATGGTCCAAAGATGTGCCTTTTAACTGTTATTAAAGTTATTAATGTCCAGATAAAATATAAAATGCCTTTTTAACCCTTTAAA